CTTCTCATCTGTGTATATCTCCCTCAGTACAAACTGTTGAAAGAAACTTATTTTCATTTTTCATAATGAATTGCAAGTTGTTGGCTACGTTGAGAACGAAACGACTGCTCCTGTCATGACAACAGACGTTATAGGCAATATTGAATTTCCATAAGGTTGTAGCAATCATCTAAGAGATTGATGGGCTCATTGAACAGGAATTGGTAATATGGATGACCATTTCAGTCGTAGAATGCTCAAACGCTCAATTGGTCGGTGAACGAGATCCCAGTTCCTGAGCTGAAAAAATGTTTTGAGGCATATTCTACAAGTACACATGAACAGAGTTAAGTTCAAGAATTAACCTTTTCTAAGTATCCCTTTCACTTTGTTGCTATAATCTGTGTTGGACATGAGAACATAGTATGGACCAAATATGGGATAGATGCACATGGAGATGAAAGCAGAATCAGAGACGACTGAGATGTACGAATTCGTAAGTCGATGCCTAAGGGATGTTTTACCTGTATTTCCCATCCTGAGAACAAAGCATGCACTGATAATCATGAATGGAATGCCCAATCCAACTATCTCGACAACCATCTGAAGAAAATTCGTCTGAGTAGGGGAGAAGAAGCATACGAAGTTGAGAATCCCAGTAGTTATTCTACGTTGGTTCGCTAGAAACTGAGTCGACTGTGATGACTTCGCTTGCTCTCTGATGCTCCGAATGAGGATAACAACACAGACAATTGCAATAATCATGTAAAACGCAGAGCTCAGTCCCGTATAAATAGCGGTGAACTGACCGTTCTCATCTTGGTCAGCTACATCAAATGCTCGGGAAGTATACATCTCTTTGGGATATTCATATGTGATTATCTGAAAAGACTGTTTCAACGCATGAATAAGGTTCAAACCTTGAGACAAGCCTGCCGTGCTTCTGCTCCACCTTCTTTCATTTCCAAGCCATTGACAAATGAAACAACAACTTGGCCAATCAGCTGGGCGAAGAATATGATTATGATTGGGTTTTTATGTTTTTTCATCCACGTATTGATTGCGAACACTCGATTGATGGTGAGAAGCAGAGTGAAGGACTTGCTGACTGAAAAGGATGAACATCATCTCCGATCTCCTCAGGTGAGTACTAGTCATCAATATCACTTGAAAATTCATTTGATCCAATGGCCTAATTCCAAGAGGGGAGAACAAACCATTGGTGTAGCCAGAAGAACATGGGAACAGGAAAGTGGGTGTTGTCCCTAATGTGAGGTAGAGTTGCGTGATGGCAGATCTTCAAAGACAATTATGAAAGATTGAAATTAAGAACTCACGTGAAGTCATGTCCATGAATCACGAAGCGGGTGAAGTTGTTCATCTTGGTTGGAACAAAGAAGAGAAGAGAAAATGAGAAGAATAGAATGAAAAACCCAAAAAGGGATAGACTGTGCATGATTATCACATAGAGAGACATCTGAGGTACGTCAAATCAGTCTACTTGTTAGTGGGGCGA